GCCCTCCGGTTTGCTAGCCGGATGCTCTTCCACTGAGCTACTGAAACCTGTATGATCACTGATCTGTTGTGAATGGTGCATGTAAAACTCRACGTCTGAGTCGGATCCTACCTTACGGTAAATATTGACGTTCTTACGGTCCATCGTAGCGTATCGTCAGGCGTACTCATAGCCAATGTAAAATACARGTTGTTATTATTGATATACGCAGCAATACCCTTATTTCCACTAACGTGTCCGCCAGAGTCCATGATGTAACGACGTTCYTTGTACGTACGTACTTTCTGTTGAAAGAAACGTAAAAATCAGTACTGCGTACGCAATATTCACTCTCCGCAAGAATACTAGAAGACTCTTCACTTAAGAACTAGACTATTCGCGTAGGAATCACACGCTAGGGCCATAGACCACTAAATACGTAGAAGTCTGTTTACTTAGTACGTAATAATCGGACTATATAGTACATATAACAATCAGTTGTAATGCGTAAACGGCGTAATGGAACCTACGTAAGAAATGTACATGAACGGCATACTCCGTACGTAAAATTCAGTGAAAAAGACTACAATTTCAGCGCGCGAGGTATTCAAGTCACCACGCTTTTTTCAAATACATTATATCTAGAAATAAAAACTACATCCAATTATTTTACCCTGTTTAGTTTCAGTTTATAGCTCAAGCTTAGGCCGTGTGGGCATTTCGTTGGGTCACTAATACATCGGCCCTGGAAGTCTCCCACTTTAAGATACGATTTGGTGCCATCAATGAAAACACCACCATCTACGGCTTTGACGGGTCCATTGACTTCTATTTCTGGGCTWCCTTCRACTTTACCATCACGGAGCTCTGGTAGGAGCCATGTGTAACGGGCAGTGACTAAAAGACAYAATAGAATCAGTAATTGTATTTCTGGTTATTTGTTTAGTGTATATATACCTGTATCGTCGTATGTAAATACATATGGAATGTCTTCAGGTGACAAAAATCTCGTGAAGGCGTACAACGAGCTGATGTACATCCTACAAATAAAAAGGAATTGATTGATTGATTGGCTGATTAATTGAACTAATGATTGATAGATTGAAAAAAATAATTGATWGAATAAATGATTGATTGACTGATTAATTGAACTAATGGTTGATTGATTGATCGATTGATTGATTGAAAAAATAAATGATTGATTGATTTATTGAAAGAATAAATGATTGATTGATTGATTGATTGATTTAAGTATTGAAGAATTGATTGATTGATTGATTGATTGACTAGTTATTTTGATTGGTTGTTTCCCCAATGTTTCTTAGTTTAGCCACCTCGAAAACATTGCAGTGAGTGACACTATGTACCAATCACACATGTTTCCTACCTTGTGTATCTATAGGGTGGATTACCACTCTTTCTACCAACAGTGAGTCGTGCTTGTTTGTTAGGTACAGGGTTAGTTGCGGTRCCATCTTTCTGTGAGTCTCTAAAGGCACCATTGACATACAACATTAGACCTTCTTCTTTCTTCCATGTCAGTACCACGTCCTGCCAGTCATTGGTCACGAGGTCTGTAGACAGATCCCAAGTCTTCGATGACGTCACTACCTGGAAATTACACATGTGCACCATTAGTATGGCGTCTTTGGTCAAGACAGTTACCCCTCTTAATGCATCGTCTTTCTCGGAAAGTGCGAGATCCCGTCTCTCTAAACTTCACAATAGAAATGAACGGACGTAGAAAGTTCCACAACAACTTTATGTACTGGAGAAATATAGGTATTTTAGAGATAATTATATGATAAATATGTATATCATCAAACCGCCATCAGTTTGCTCGCCACATTAATCATTAATTAATCATTGATCTATTAAATTCTYTGCAGGTCAACTTACTTTGTAGTGTACAGTGCTATTTTCTAAGTAAATCGAGATTCCTCTTGAATCGCCAGCAGAATCCATGATATATCGCTTGTCTTTGTAGCTCTTGGCATCATCGTCAAAGTTCAACTAAAATAAACACAAATAACTTATATTCTTGAGATTCAGCATGYGATCATATCAACATTGCAACATCCGACATCCGACAGCATCCAACATTCCATGCSAYACCATCCAACTTCCAACGTCAAATGAGTAACATCATCCAACAACATCGGAAATCGTACAAATGAGAATCATATTATACCTGCATTGCGAATGAGAATCCTTTGATCTACCCAACATTGAATATCCTTCAACATCCGTCACTATCCAACATTGATGCATCATCGTCCAACATCCAACACTATCATTAAGAATTACATCATACCTGCATTGCGAATGAGAATCCTTTGATGCAGAGGTCAGGGTCGCCAAGGCACTGTCCGTAGAAATCACCAGCGTCCAACCACGAGTCAACACCGTTCAATTGTAACCCACCATCGACAGATTTAATATGTCCATGTATGGAAATAGGGCTGGACCCATGAATCTTGTTGTTATAAATCTTTTGTGCAGTCCAGAAATATCTTGGAGAAACTGTTGATAAACAAACATTGAAGCAAAACGACCTGTGAGCGTTGAAATAGCCAAAATAGCCAATAACCTCCAAATAACAATAAAATGGCTTAACCCATCGTTGAACAAACAACTATTTCATGCAAATGTTAATCTCAAATTGTAACTTTATCATCTAAAGTATAAACTTTGTATGTCTAAAGTATACTCTTTCTATGTCAAAATTTTGGGCTGTTCTTTTTTAAAAATTACTATACCAATAACAGAAATGTCGTTTTTTGGTGGACAACCCTTTCAATAGCAGCTGTATATCTAGGAAAAACAAACCAAAATACAGTAATTGATGAATGACTTTTTTCTACCTGCTTGTCTGCCGAATATAGAAACACTTGTGTCTATATTAGGAACTAAATTGTTGTCAGCAATAAAGTCGTTGACTTTCTGTGTGAGGATTCCATCTAAACAGAAATAGAACCACAGATATTACATTTTAATGCTGACATGTGATACCAATTAAGCAAAAATCATAGAATTAAACACGACAAGAAAATGTAAAAKCACTAACCATTTTGTAAGTCTTTAAGCGTCTTTGGACCTGASAAAAATGAAGATAAAATAGATRTAATTCGTTGAATGAAAACACGGGAGAGAAAGACTAAAAATCGCCTTTGTCAATACASCTTCTAGCCAAGAGAGAACGTGATCCACTCCCAWRGAAAATAATGACCAGCGGTTAGTTTTTGACCATATTTGGTAAGGAAATACCATAAAAGGTAAAATGACACTTACTTGGTTTCTTACARAGGTAGCTATACTTAGACTGACATGGTTCGTCATGCCAGCGTCCAGTGCGTGTGATTATTGCRCATGTCACTCCACCGTTGTTAGGCGACTTGTCGTCCCAGTTTGTATACGATGACGTCATTCTATCGGGCCAGACCCAGTCTCCCTCGTTATCTTTGTCATTATAGCCAATCCACAWATCATGTTTAGAGTAAACCTAAGATGGAGAAGGATTAGCATTAAATAAATCCTGCGAAGATTTTTGTGCTTAAGCTATCTACTTTTTTGGAATATATATTTCTGGTTTTTATATTTTCATCTAAAACCACTTCACCTGTGAAACCATGGTCTGTTCGTCATCGGATAAGATACTGGCTAAAGCGCCTTCGTCGTTCAGACAAGCTTGTTGTGCTTCGTCCCATGTCTTCTTGTCTTCGTTGAACTTGTAGCATCCTCGAACGCTGTTCAAAGTGAGTTTTTTCCATCCTTCGTTGCAGTCTAAAATACACAAGAAATATGTCGCATTGCTAAACTTTTAGGATGCGAAATTATATCCAAAGTAGATCAGACATGTGTTATTACTGATATGTTGTTGTTGTTGTTGCTGTTACTAATGTTGTTGCTATCGTTGTTGTTGTCATAGTTATTGTTAGTAACACTATTGTTATGCCGTAGTCGTTGTCGTTGTCATTGCTGTTGCTACTGCTTGTTTTGTTGTTGGTGTTATCGCTACTACTGTTGATGTTGTTGTAGTCGCTACTGTTGCCAAGGTTTTTTTTTTGATGAAGTTGAAGTTCTTATGGTTGATGTTGTTGTTGACACTGTTGTTGTTTTGCTGTTGATGATGCTGATTTTGCTTCATATGTTCTCTAACACTTACCGTCTGCACTTTTCTTGCACAAGAAAGAGTACTTCTGTGARCAAGAATCGTCTCTCCATTTTCCCTCGTCAGAGTCCAGGACTACGCAGTCTCGTCCTTTACCATGGTCATCTTTAGCACTGCTATCCCAGTCACTGTACACCGACCTTGCGTAGAAAATTAAAAAATATATAGAATACGCGTAGCTTTAGCAAAGATACAAAGACAACAACAAAGACATTCGCATATATCATGTTTGTAGTTCTAATAAAAGCATCAAGATGGCGGATATCTTATAAAACTACGAAGAATGAAGTTGTTTTTCCTMCAGGGACTTGACTTGCGTTAATCAAGGGTTAACTTATCATAGATTATATAAGATTTCACCCAGGATWGGCGCTAATCGGGCTTTGATCAACCCTAYCCTRAAGAAGATTAAGTAAGACGGCAGTACACTAGAGAAGAAAATCAAATATTGCAATTGCCCGAAAATCACATGACGTCATAGGGGATTTGACCATTCAAGAACAGAATGATATAAAAAAATGAGAAACAAAGTAAGTCMGACATACTTGCTACCATCGCTCCAGSTCCATGTGCCAGCCAGTGATTTATCCCTGTAACCAATCCACGCTTCGCTGTTGGTAAAGTTTTCCAGGAAACGCTGCTCATACGCATTGGTTACACTGAAAAGATCACCTCCCGCTGACACGCAACTCTTGCGGGCGTCATTCCAAGTGCTTTTGTCGAACGACAGTTGATAACAGAATGTACCGAAGTCACCGTAGGCACCAGTCCATCCACTGCCGCACTTGAGGTCTGGAGGAAAAAAGGAAAATTTGTATAACTGCTTTATTGACATTAAATAACGATTAATGAAGTTTAATGTACTTGTGATTATTGGATTAGTAGCAGACTCGTACCCAGTCGTTACGCTTTGTTTTTCGATACGCTCGAAGGGATTGATGGGAAGGAGAGAAAAAAGTAACTTCGCGCCTTTCCTTCGTCCTTCCCTTYATGCATTGCGCGCCGCTCGAGAGAAGCGRCTTGGAACGAGTCTGGAATAGYAGGTCAGCTTTGTACCTGGTTTTGGTCGAATAAGATTTTTCTTCCCAATAGCACTCCCYTTAGTAGAGAGTTGRTCTTGTTGGTTACCCTCTGGGGGGARGGGTTCAGGRWAAGGATGTCCACCTTCAGGGAACAAAATCGGTCCAATCTGTAACAATCATAACGGGAATAAGTCGATTATTGTAGCAGTAATATTGAGGCATTAAGTAATGATATTAGTAAATGGTGCGTCACAGACGCGATTTCATCTAATACATCTCTTGCACAATGCAAAACAAAATGCACACAGCACGCTTCTTTAATTTCTGAAGTATAGAGAAAAAACAGCAACTTCAAGCACAAAATAAATATTATGGAGCTTGAGAAAAAATTATGCTTGAAAGGAGAAAAGTAATTGATCAATTGTTCATTGTTCAATTTTGGCCGTCAAGAGGCGAATAAAGTACTAGCTGATCAAAAAAATCAACCACATTTTTCTAYTCAAAGATTATGTAAAACAATTGCGCACAAAAATCAATGTAAAGTTACACGTTTCAAGTTACAGGATGGGCATCGCGTGGCAAGTTGCATGAAAAAAAAAACTAAATAATAAAAATAAAAATACGAGTATCAATGAACATATACAACAATTATTCTCGTCAAGTGGTCCCATAACTTACCTGAGGTATACCACCATTACCATTCCCAGCATAGCTTTGACTTTGAGTTGCGCCCTCAGGGGGGATGGAGTAGGGATAAATTGGTGGTGCAGCGGCTTGTACACTAGCGTACTTCAATGGGGGTAGTTGGTTTTGATTCAATGATTGCAYAAAGTTCGTGGTTCCCGGAGAGGACTGTAACCCATTATTTGTCTGGTCTGAGGTGATCATGTATCTTGAGCCCTCGGTGTCAGCAGGGTTGGAGTAAAACAAGTTCATCTCAGGRCTGCTTTGCGCATGCTCTAATGGCGGCAACGCGATTGGTGGATGGTAGCTCTTCACGCTATCTCCTGGGAAAACAATGTTAAATYAAAAGTTAMGAAATTGGCCATAAAYCCCTGATAACATGTCACTTAGAAAAAAAAGTTGAAAMCAAATACTTGGTAAAGTTTGATAATTGTATGAACTATCGATTATATGGGACATTACAGCGAAACCACTAAAACCATAGTCCCTTAGGCAAACCTAACCAATTAGATGACAGTACATCAGACATTGATATCACCGGCAGCAACATCATCCAATCAGATCAAAGCATTCACACGCTTTGATTGACTTATGGATTGGATTATTGAAAAACTGTGTATAAACTGATTGGTTGATAATATTGATTTGTCAAAGTGGTCCTGGTTTCAGTAGCAACACTGTAGTATAATATCACATGTATTGAAAACATACATACAAATCAAATGAATAAATTAATCATGCAAAGCTGCGGAGATTGTGAGTKATCAACATGATCAAAGGGAATGATTTCCTTGCAAACATGCATGTCGTCTCATGCWATCGTTGCTACAGTTGTCAATCAAGTCGATGTTAGCTCACGCGACAAGCATWGACTCAAAAAGTATGAGGTAAGTGATTATCTGTTGCGTTACACTGTCATCGCAGGATGCGTTACTTTCGTATACTACATATGTCACACAATCACTGTCGTTTGGTTACACTGTTARACTCAACTCAACTAAAGCGTCCTTGCATCTACAACATTCATAAGATCTATGCTATAGTTGTGGTTGCGGTCAATTAGTCGTCCGTCGTACGTTGCGTTATTGTTACGTGTATACGCGTGTTCACGGTCGTGTCATAACGTATCATGCAACTGTTTTGTTCTCAGTCAAATCGTGTTCGTCATAAGATGCGTTACAGTGTCGYAGGCTATGTCACACAATCATTGTCGTTTCGTCAAAATGTTACAGATGTTAAAGTATTATCGCTCGTTACAATGCATAATTCTATTCGTAACGAACATGCCATTCCGTTAGCATTGCAAAGTAGTTCCGTCATTAAGGTCGTGACAAAGAGATTAAGCTATAATCTGCAATTGGGTTATCGGGACACCATTCCAAAGTTATCATGCTTCTTGTCGTGACACKGTGTCACTGGGACGTTATGTCATGCAATCTGACTATTAGCCAAACCTGTCTTCCCTGGCGTGACGCTTGCTTCTGGAAAATTAATCGAAGACCTAAACCCATGAAGTGTCTCATCTTTGGGGTAAACATAGTTAGAATTCGTCCTCTGATTGGTCAATATAGTACCTTTTCCTGTCTTTGTGTAGTCAAAGTAGCTTTCCTTTGGAACTTGTTTAAGTGCTGCGTCGTTACGAAAAGTCGATGACGGACTGTTGAATCTTATTTCCGATTTTGTCGACGGTTGTACATAATTTGCCGGTCCGACACTGTACGAATTTATCGGATTATAAAAGCTTTGTGAGGCTGTGGGATTGAGGCCAGCGATATTAAAYTGACTGTTGTCAGCGGGTTGCTGTGGTGTATTCTCTAAAAACTGATTTCCTGCGTTTTGCATGGGCGTGCTGCCAGGCTGGAACGAATTYAAAGGCGACTGACTCAGTGTGGTCGACCCGTGTATCTGTTGCCATGACTGCATACTTGGRTTTTCTTGGGTTTCAAAAGAGTTTGGGTATCCAAGGATACTGTCACGCAACGCACCACGACTGTTGACCTGTTCCTTTCCAAGAACGTTGGTCTGCAAAGATTTCTGGGATTTGTCCATCACGTGATTCCCTTCGTCATTAAAAGACACCGTCTTTGGTGGTGTGTCTTGCTGTTGTTTATTATTCCCTGTCAAATCTTGTTGCTTTGCCTTTAAGTTCAACGGGCTGATATCCATCTGGTTAAAAAGTGCRCCTTCGATAAACGAAGCCGATGTAGCGTTATTCCCATTCATACTTGGTAGCACATCTGGTTTTTTGGATTTCAYTTCCGTGACGTCATTTCCGTTAAATGAAGCCAACTGGGGTGTACTCGCGGAGCTGTTCATCCCTTGTCGTTCWAGTTGATTAAAGAGCCCACCTTCTGAGAAAGAAGATACCTTAATGGGCATGTCAATTGGTGCGGGTTCTAGATCTCCCTTCTTCCTTGCAAGGGCGTGGTCGGCATTTGAATTGAGGGCCTCTTCCATGACCCCTTTAGTACCCTTAACGTTATCATCATACGAAAGCCTCCTTAAGGAGTCCCTYCCTTTATAATACGCCGCTAAATACGAATCTTTGCCATTTAAAGAATCCATTTTAACTTTCGTCGAGAGTAGTCCSTCTGATCTTGAATTCGCTAAGCTATTTTCCATTGGTTGCCCAAGAGTCGATTTCACTGCCGCATTCTCTTGTGTTAATTTCGGATTTGTAAACCACGTGGTATCTTTCTTAGTTGGATTCTCGTCAACCATTACGTAATGAGGAAAAGAGGTCTGCGRGAGGGTYTGTGCACTGCCAAAGGGGCGATTCCATGGAAAACTTGACTTTTTATCAGAATTTTCTACCTGACTGTCTTGCGGGAGGGTTTGTGCACTGCCAAAGGGGCGATTCCATGGAAAACTTGATTTTTTATCAGAATTTTCTACCTGACTGTCTTGCGGACGTGGCATAAAAGGAACTCCTTGAGAATCAGTGGAAGCATTGGACAGCGGCGTTTGCGGAAACGAGCTAAAGTTATTGTTAGCATTCTTAAATATCTTTGATTCGTCAACATCAGCGAAGTCATCTGAATCGTCTAATTTTTTCGGTTTACTAGCTAAGCTGACAAAATTTCCATATTTATCTAATTGTGCAGAGTCGTTTGAAGAAGATGAATTTACAATATCAATGTTTGRTTTTTTGAAACCTGAGGGGTCTACGTTTGGATAGAAATTAGAACTAGGATTTCCTTGATATTGCGCGTTATTTTCTTGGACTTGGCCCACGTTCGTGTCATTATTTCTTCCTCTGCCTAAAATTCTAGATATTTCAGATTTCAAATTATATGAAAYTATGTTATTGGGTTGGCTAATTTTGGACTTGAAATAGTCTGTTCCMATTGGTTGATTATATTTCCCAGAATTCTGCACTGGGATGTTTGCAGCCTCCTCGTTACCATAGAAACCAGGATCAAAACCCTTACCAGTTTTCGCGAATGGTTGAATAATTTTCTCCTGTTCGACCCCCTTCAAWAGGGGAGGGAGGTTGGAGGCTGAYTCCATACCATGATTCAATGGGGGCAATGCCTCCGYTTTCATTTCGTGGTTCAAAGGGGGAAGATTAGCTGCAAATTCCTTTCCATGGTTCAGAGGGGGAAGTTCCGCCCCATGGTTCAATGGGGGAAGGTTCTTTGCGGCCTCGGTTCCATAGTTCAGCGGCGGGAGTGAGCTTCCCATACCGTGGTTTAGTGGAGGAAGGTTGCTGGCACTTTCCATCCCATGATTCAATGGGGGTAGATTTTTCCCATAATTCAGTGGTGGAAGTACTGTGAAAACAAACAAGAGGACGGAATATAATTATAGTTTTATTACAAAAACAAATTACTGGGTGGAAACTTCATACTCCATGTAAAACATACGCAATCTTTGYACTTTTATTCATACCATGATGCACTTCGCCGAAACAAGCATGACGTCATAGACTAGATGAACTATGTTTGAATCTGCTTGATTCGCACCAATAACATAAAGTATTGTAAAACTCACTTGATATACATTAAATATTACACTAAGACAGCCATATTCGTGAACATTGTCACGTGACTTTAATACACAGGTATCCCGATACTACGTGTTCTCACCTCCACGTTGTTGAGCTGGTTCTGAATTCGAAAGGTCATCAGGTGGAGRTCCTACGTCTTCCTTGGATATATCATCAATGTCATTGATTGCTGCAAATACGTTACTTTTCTTTGGAATTTTACCAGATATCTCAGCCATTGKGCCTTTACCGTTACTTTCCAACGTCTTCTTCACATCAGAACTTGACARTTCATCGGCAAGAGAATGATAGAGCGAATCGTCAGAGTGCTCGTCAGAAACCTCGGGACTATGTCCCGAAATYGCTTCGTCTGAAATAGATGATTTTGTCTGTTCTTTGCCACCGACTTGGGCCGTCGCCATTTCTTGGTTGGGCTGGTTGGCGAAGTAAGAATTGCTTTCGGGTAGAATATTTACATCTGAAAGGTTAAGTGATTTTAAGAATAATTGACAGCATCGGGCTCTACCCTCTTTGGGTTCTTCCCCTTTTGAGCTCTCCATCATTGGCATTGGATTTTTAGACACTTCCCCTTTTAGGTCCCTTTTAGTGTATACACTAGTATACAGCATCGGGCTCTACCCTCTTTGGTGTCTTCCCCTTCGGGTTCTCCACCTTCGGATTTTTGGAGTCTCCCCCTTTTAGGCCTCTTTAAGTGTATACACTATTTCTCTAGGGCTTTTTTATTGATGTCTGTCACTTGAAGGCAAAAAGCAGTAACACCACACTACTAATACTCGTTGTTTACTGACGATTAACTGAATATTTTACCTGCGTGGGGACTGGGCATGGGCTGCTGGTTAAAAAAACTGGCGGCCATGTTCAATCCACCTGCTAAACACAAAACAACAAACAATTCATTTATTAAATAATTCATCACAAATTSAAAACACCGTGAACAGTGAAAGAGAATTGGATCCAAACGGAATAAAATGTTATTGTGTGGTATTGGTGTGATTTGTAGTTGCCACCGATACTTGGAAATGAATTATTGCATTTTTTCGTGAATACAGTCGATCTTCAAAAAGTTGTCTACCAAATATTCCAATTGACATGTGACTTATTCACATATTCACCTTCCGTTTGTTCGAATTATTAGAATGTAAGGTAGGATTTAGCCCAATTTGAACGAAGGGAATGTATTTTTAGGATCGATAACCTTTTCAAGATCGGCTGTATATAAACTTCATCGAACGCTAATCATCATTGATTGAAATTCATCGATTATTTGTCAATAATAGACCTCTGCAGCTTTTACGTCATGTACCGTATACGCAATGCATTGTAGGATATGTTTGGGACAGAACATGGCGGATTTCTTTTGTTTTCTCTTGAAATTGATCCCACAATGCATTGAAAATCAAGTACTGACGTAAGGTCAGAAGTCTATTCCTGCGCTGCGAATGAGCAACGGTTTTATTCATCGAACGTTTATCTCCGTARAGCATTTATGTGCTTTAGCAGTAAAGGAAGTTAGTATAGGAAATTTTAAAGTTTTAAAGTTACTATAAGAATTATTGGATCACGAACAAGCATAGACCTAACCGCTCGATGCGTTGAGGTAGACGTTTCTGTCAAATTCAAACCAAGCGCGATTGACTTTTGTTGTGCTTTGATTTCACACTGAATTCTTACTGAGGCACAAGTTCTTACTGCCAAATCAGTTTTGAATTTGACGGTAACGTGACAAAGTTGATTTGATTAATGTATGGAAAGATTGATTGATTGATTGCTTCATTGACTGATGGTTGATTGGTGACTGATTGCATGAATGATTGATTAACTGACTAATTGATTGATTGGTCGATTGATCGATCGATTGGTTGATTGATCGACTGACTGATTGATTGATTGATAGATTGATTGATCGACTGATTGATTAATTGATAGATCGATCGACTGATCGACTGATTGATGCATTCATGCATTGATTGATTCATTGATTGATTCATTGATTGCTTAATTCATTGACTGATGGTTGATTGGTGAATGAATGATCGTTAGATTGATTGACAGGTCAAACAGTAAGATTGATAAATTTTTATTCACCAAATCCACTAATGAATGAATCAATCAATCTCAGGAATACAAATTGTAGTGTAATTATCATACACGAGTGGTTGATTTCATTAACACTCCATACACTAATCAATAAAAGAGTTTACAAACAAACAAAAAACAAACATTAATATTCCTTGAGAACCTTCCTTTATTAATATATAATAATATTAAAAATTGCTACGTACTCCCAGACCGTTCATGAAATTTACAACCAGCTCGGGAAACAAATCGACAATATTCACAACGTTCTCTCTTTTGGCGGGAAATTGTAAGACTAAATCACGTGATTTGTTGTATATTTACATCGTTGGTACCCAGACTCCTCGGCTTGAGAATCTGTCGCCTTTGTTACCGTCGTTCAATTACATAATTTATAAGCCACATGGCGGCATAGGGAGTTAATGCCCACGTGGTATGCCATGGCAACCATTTTGAAGCAGTGTCACGTGACAWGGCAATCRTATMATACCAAATTTGGTTATAAATCTATGTCCAAGTACACAAATAAAAGGGAATTTATTGGATAAGTTTTGCTCGGAATAATTTAATTTGTTTAATGAATTATTATGAAGKCTAAGTCTTTAAAAATCGTTAAAATCTTTTGTAGTTAATTCTTGGACATTAATTTACAACCAAAGTGKCATCGCTAGGCGTGATTAATGTTCAAGATGGCTGCCATAGCAGAGTTCCGCCATTTTCTATATTTTCCATGGCAAMTTGTTTGTACAACGTCATTTATGTATCGTCTTAATTGTTCTGTGGGATCATTTAATATCTACACATCACTTCGTATACTGTACCGCTCAAACAAAAGAGCTTTTTAAAAAAACACACACACTTCCCAAAAACATTTACAAATGAAATTGTTCATCTTTRGTRTTTTGACGATTGATCGCTTAGCGAATATACCGCCATTAGTGGCCTTTTCCCTTCACAGATCGTTTCTTCTTATTCCCAGGAAAGTAACTGCTTAACTCTCGAAGGTTGGCATCGTCAGAGCCTGTTGATTGGCAGAAAATTGGAAGCCACTTTAGTGCACAGCCATGCGCATGCGTAAGTGTGTTGATAAGAAGGATCATCTCAACTTCTCCGGAACAAAACGAGAACAGAAAACACGCGATTAAAACTTCTAGAACACACGATYAAAGCCTCTAGAACKTTCTATCAAATTGATCGTCAAACTTGGCCAATTTTTRCACTTTTCATTCACATAAAAGTTTTTRAACTGACAAGTCATTRCGCATGCTCTCTTTCCGGAATCCCAGAATGCCTTTCRCTCGAGGCCCACAGTATACGAAATTCTCTGTAGATATTAACGATGATGGGTGAGTGCTGTTTGTGACGACATGATCCGGCAATAGCAGTCTTTCAWAAGCGATTATAGCCCTCAAATTGCTTAAAAAGCCCTATACTTAAGTTTCTTGTCCGAATTTCAATCATATTATAGGTTGAAAATTTGTCAAGGATGTCAAGTATTAATTTTATTTTGATTTATTCATTTTAAAATTTTAATTGTTTATATTTTAAAATTTTAGGATTTGAAAACGTTCAGATGGCGAATATCAGAAAAAAAAACAGTAAAAGGGTGATGCGAACYTATCTAAACCTACATTTCCTGTTACAGAAAAAAAAATATGAAAGGGAAATAAAAATGGTAAAATAATACTGAAAAAGAAAAATCTAAAAATGGAAATTCATCTTTTTGAAAATAAATTAAATAGAATAAAAAAAACCGGTTACAATAGAAGATTTCTTTGCAATGAGGGCTATAGAGTAAAATAAGCAGCACTCGGCTCGTTTGGCTAATGTCTGTTTTGAGCTCCATGCGATGTTTCCTGTAGTTTGGTCGTAGAGTCGAAGAAGTCATGATCACCCTACTTATCAACATGTCTTGGTAGTAATTCATGCTAATCACTTCATAATGCATGCTAATTATGATAATATATGATAACATAAGGATGTATTGTTAACTAGTAAGTCAGTTGAGAAATGTTATCTAAGTGAGATTAGTACGTGTTGATGTGGTGTTATGTGATGTAACATCACGTGACTTAAGAGTCACGTGATGTTTTAGATTTTCCAATGACGTATTTTGCATAATGCAATGGTGAAAGAATTTTTATTTATYTAAATTTTAGTGTATTTAAAGTTTATCATGGTTTATATTTTATACTTTTTGWAATTTTATATTTACAATTCCTGCAGTGGTAACTATTGATGATCGSMCMCAATACAGTGACCGTTCATKATAAGGTTAATGTTCGCACCCCTACATAACGGGCGGTTGATATAAACCGGCTTCTAAACCAGTATTAACGAGTTCCTATATAATAGCCACTCGTAATAAACAGGTTTTCAAACCAGCATAGAAACTAGCCCGTGTATATATAGCGACCATCGGAAATTTCAAATCACCTTTATAACGGTCGGTCGTAATAAAGAAGTGTTCAATCTAGTTTTAACGAACCCCTTAATGTAACACGTCCGTAATAGAGAGGTTCAGCCTTACCTTGTGGTTGTGGTTGTACAAGAGCAGCTTGAGAATCTGCATTGAAAGAATTCATCAACTGGTTGTCACCGAGTGGTGTTTGCTGGACRTATCCTTGTGTACTATTTGCAGGCATTTCCAGGTTTGAGTCTTGGATGAASTCATTTGATGGGGCGGTTTCCATGGGGTTAAACATGGGCTGCTCTACGCCTGATCTGGCTGCCGGTGCTGCYTGGGGCATTTGTTGCATCAAGAATTTTGACACTGTGGATGGAAAAAGTTGCGTTCAGAAGAGATTTCTCTCGCTGCTCTTTCAAAGAATACTAAATAAATATCATTGTAAATAGTATTGCAGAAGAAAGTAGTCTTTTAGAGCCAAACAAAGCTTAAACATGGACACTTTAATAATATTTGAAAGACGCTTTACTTCATGTGATTCACGATTTTATGCATTCCTATATGCTCTACTCTGCTCTGCTCAAATATTACTGTATATTACATTTTCCATTGAATTTTCCTCGTCCAATCATTTCTTAATTTATTTTTTCATTATTTCTCATTGTCCAGCATGGAGTTCTGATACTCATAACAAGTTCAAACAAATCGGTTTTCCTACCTGAAGGTTTAGGAATAGCGTTCTTCTTAGCAGCGACTGCATTTGAGATTTGAGAGTTCTTGAATAGTATAATTGGATTGGAGTGACCATGAGGAGTGTTGGAAGCACCAGGATGTGACTCGATAGGTTGCATAGARGCACCCTTTGGCATATGRCGGACATACATGTAGGGGTCGTCCAGGTCTCCTGATGCTTCTTGATCCTCCTTGAGTTTCTTCGCCTTAGCTTCTGCTTCTGCCTTTGCTTTCTTTCTGGCATCTTCTTTGGCCTTGGCGATCTTAGCTCTGGCAGCAGCGGCTTCTTGTTGGGCAGCCATGGTCTGT